ATCTCTTAACATTTCCATTTTGATAAAATTATTACTCAATGGTTGTTGAATTAAATATTGATTGAGATGCTTATATTCTCTGTGGATTCTGTTTCAATATTTTTTCTCATCCAACCACGTTTTTATTAAATAATTTTATAATCTCTGAAACATTTCGAATCCATAAAACAACAGGGGAATGCGAAATAAATAAAATTCAATTTCTCGCATACAAGAAAAATTTATTGAATGAGATTAAAAATGAAAATGTGGTTTAAAACTATAGACTGAATGCCTTAAAGCACAATTCATGCCGCAATTGTTTGATCGGAAATGTTTTTATATTTTTTTTTCAACTTCATACAAAATGTTCATCCGGATGAAACCAGATGAAATAGGATGAAATTTTGTTTAAGGGATGAAACTTGCCGTGACTTTATCTAGATTAGAACTTATTTCCTTAGTTCAATGAACGCCGAATACTTTATCTAGATTAGAACTAATTTCATTCGTTCAATTAATGCTGAAGAGTACGGTTGAGAATACGCTTATTTAACATCCTCTCAAGATCCAGTAAAGAGCATGTTCAGTAGCGGACTCAATCATCCTCTAATTATAAATAACTTGCATGCAAGTTTTTGCTTCATAATCTTTTATGTACTCTCAAGAGCATGATCAGAAGAGTATATAAAAAGCATGATCACTCACATCCTCATGAGATTATGTTAAAAATTTTCTTGATTATATACTTCACAAGCGCTAGCAGAAATCACTATTATAAGTTATTATTTTGGACTTTCTATAGTTTAAATATGTCTTTTCGCCATTCGAAAGTTATTCAATTTCAGAAGGCATTAGACAAGATGGACAGTTATCAGGACAAACTACAACACAGCGTACTCGGGTTCGAATCACGACAATAACCAAAAAAGAATGAAAATATCAAATTCTCAAAAACATGATCAAGAGCATAATCACAAGCTCATAAATTTTTTAAATAGTAAAATTAAAGCACGATCAGCAGAACATGTTCTTGATCATGTTCTCAAGTTTAACTTGCATAAAAAATTTGCAAGTAGAAAAGCGTACTCTTGAGAGCGTGATTTCTGTGGTACCCTGCTGCGATCTCCATTTCTATGGGAGAGTACGCTAATTTAGCGTCATCAAATTAAATATTGATTTTTAAAAATCATACTCAGATCGTGCTCTTTGTCTGTTAGGGTCAATAAACGCTGAAAACTTTATCTAGATTAGAACTAAGTTTCCTTCGTTCAATGAACGGGGTTTTCGGGTGTTTATCCTAGCTGAAATTTTTAAATGAAAGGATGAAACCGAATAAAACGTGTCCATGCCTTGCATATATTTTCAGTTGAACTTAATAAACATTTTCCAATACACATACTGAATGAATGAATTTTTTAAGGTACATTTTAATTCATTCTCGAGGATAAATACATGAATGCATAAATATGAACATGTGAAAAATTTGGCAGTAGAATTATGATCTGATGACAAGTCGGAAATTTTTTTATGGCATTCATTTCAATAAAATTGACTGACAAGCAGGAAGAACATTTGATGATTTGCCATCAGCTACTAAATTTATGAATTTACTTTTTTTGATGTGAAGAATCGTGATTTAATTGGTTTAGAAATGTGAGTGGGAAAATGTCAATGATATGGGAGGATATGGGATATGAATGCCAAAGCTTTTCATTTGGTTTTCAAAATCGATGTAAGAATCTCGAGTATGTTGATTTCAGTAGGAATGTAGGCAGAATTTGAAAACAAAACATTGATTCAAAAAATGCTCTTGAAACCTAAATCCAATCTAAATTGCAAAAATTGTAGAATAGCAATAGAATGAACTCGATGACTTATAAAGTACAAGGTAAAGTTTATTGATCCAACTTTGTTTGCAAACACAATAAAATTCCTTGAAAAAAAAATCTATAAGAATTTACTTTGTAAATCGCTACTCCACAAAAGCATCTTCTTGTTTGACTTACATTCCTTCTTACTTTGTGCTAGAACTGCAAGCTCTTCTCGGAAATACCTTCAGGGTAATAACATAAATTGAATATGAAAAGAATATTAAATGGAGAGATTATAAAAAATGTTGTGAACTTTTAATCTCATTGAAATATTCTTTTTTGCTGTTCATGATTGTAGAAAATTACATTTTAAGCGACTCAGTCAACAATTTGCATTTGTAATCCAATAAAAAATATCGCTAATACCTACAATACATCATATTAAACGAGAAAATCTCATATGACAAAATATTTTCTTTTGATTTATTGTAACAAAATTTCTGAAAAAAAATCTATTTTTAAATTAGACGAGGAAAATTTATCGTTTGAGCTTCGAAAGCTTAAAAGCGTTCATTCATTTATAATGATTTTCATGAGACTTTAATGTTCCTTTTGAATAATATGAAATGGAATTCATTATTAAGAGGCATTGTTGCGAGAAAATCTGCGCATTTTCTTGTTCACTTTGAGATTTTTCTGGATCGTTGGTAATTGAAATTGCTGAGAGCTTGGAGATTATTAAAATTTTAGAAAGCTTTTTGAGAGGTTTTTTTGTTGTTGTTCATCAAAAAATGAAATTTTCAGACCTATGCATCTTCCATCGTTACATATGCTAGTCTAAGTTTTTACTATATCTAATGTCATATTAGATAATGTCATACTGTAACTGATAAAGTTGAGCTAAGATGGGCCAAATTCATCAATCTAGCATTCCAAACCAACCCATGGACACTCAAACCAAAAACCAAGACAGTAACAAGCTTCAATAAATCTAGATCCTTCTAAATTAATGCAAATAAAGCGCATTTAACAGACATAAATCTCAATGCTATGCTACATCATTACATAACTTATGATAATACTGAAATGCCAATCTGAAATCTTCATACAATCCAAATACTCAAGATACATTCATTTCATTCCATTCCCCAGATTTAAAATTTATGTCACTAGATCTCGAATCTATCAATCTATACTTGCTTTTCATACATCTTTCTACACGTCTTTCTAGTGATGGGTTGGTGAGACATTGTACTTTATATATGTCTAAGCGAATGGTACAATGCAAATGAGGCAAAATTTAATTTTCAATTTTCCCTTCCCATCTATTACGATGAATGACTTTCTGTATTTTTTTCTCATATTCATTTCTCAAATGCCTGCTAGTGCTTTATGGCCCTTTTTTCTCTCTATGTTTCTATCTCTTTCTATTATTGTTGTCATTGTTATTACTTCCTCAATTTTGACTGTAGAAGATACATTTTCCATGCTTGCCTTATTCTCGTTTGAAACAAGTGAAGAATACCCGAGCAGCTCACTACGACAACTCAAGTTCTATCTTTTCCTGATGCTTTGCTGTTAACAATACGTTGTCTGTATTGTGCTGCTCGGGAACAATGAAATATTTCAAAATCATGAATGATTCAGCGGTTGAATATAAAAGAGTAAGAGCTGTAGAAAGGAGCTAGAATTTGAAGGATAATTTAGATTTGATTTCTTTATTATTATTATTACAGTCTGTTCCTTTTCTCAAGCATTACATTACGCATAAATTCCATCCCTTAAAGTAAATAAATTCCTATTGTGGAAGTCATTAAAACATGAATATTTCAAGTTTATGAATCAACTGGCATAGCTAACTTGTTGCTTATAATAACAGTCTTCTATTTAAAACATTGTGCCAAGAAAGAAGAAGGTAAAGTGCTTGTCGGATCTGCCCTGTCGCAACCCCATGTCATAATTGATGAGCTTCTTTTTTGTGTCCTCGAATATTTTAGAGAGTTACTCAATATGATGAAAAAAAATGTCAATTTTTTAGTCACGGTCATAAAAAATGGTAATTCTCGAAGTTCATGTACACATGCCTCTAAGCTCAGATGTACATTTTCTTATGTGTATACAATTTTTTGTGTATATGTATTGAAAGTATCTGGTATCTGCTAGATAAAAACCCTTAGAAAAAATATAAATTCGAAATTGAGAATGAAAATAAATTTTATTTTTTATTAAATTCTGATTCGCTTTGCTGAGTTTGTTTAAAGAAAAGAATCGATTGGAATTTATATGTCTAAGCTTACACTGCTTAGAGCGCTTTGGATCCAACAAGTGGAAAATATGATGAATATTTATTAAATTTATTGTTTTTTTCTGAATGAATACAGAAGGTTATGAGCATAGATATAGACCGAATGACACAAGTCGGTTAATTGATCAGAAATCCAGCACCAAATTAGTGTGATTCTGGCATAGTGCAGGATTTAAATTGAAGCCAACATCATGCTTGATGCTGGATTTCTATTCGATTAACCAACTTGTTTTATTCGGGTAAGTTTGAAACATGGAAGTATTTTTGGGGATTTTACCAATCCTTGATTAAGGTTGCATTAAATCTCAATTCAGAATATTGAGACGAACCCTTACCTCTCCTTCCAACTTTTAATCAAAAAATCCTAGAAAATTGAAGAATTCTTTGCATTTGGGTGCTACCTTGGATATGAATCTCATCCTCACTAGTTACCAGAATTGTGATCTGTCGTCTGCCTGTCACCTGTCTCGCAACTCTGCTAGATACACACACCTAGCCAAATTAACATCAACAGAAGAATTTTCCTCTACCATTGCCTCTAGAAATCTCATTCAATGCTTCCAGAAAAAAAATCATTCACTTCATCTACAAATTGATGAAACTTTATATGTTCATTCCAACCTAGCAACTGTATAGTTATCATGTATATACAAACAAACATTCGTTATTACGTTGTATGCTTGCAGCTATTCTTAATATTTTAACGTCATCGTCACATCCACTTCGATTACCACTTATCATTAATATTACTTTTTTTTGCACTATGAGTATATACATCCCATAATGATAGATACTACAAATTATCATACTGATATTTATACATAAATTTTTTATTTCATACAGAGCTTTAGGTATTGAAATGAATTAAATTGATTGAAGCTTTAAAATATTAAAATCCTCTAATGATTCAGCATTTGAAAGTACGTACGTATGTTCGTACATGAATTCACAATTATAATATTGAGGAATATAGAACATATTATACACATTATGGATCTCTACAAATTCATTTATGTGGAACAGCAATGGTACATTGTGAAATGACGAGGTTGAATTTCGTTGTAAAATGGAACGAGAAGAAGAAAACGACACATGGAAAGGAGACAGCAAAAAAAAAGCATTTGCACATATTGATTTTATATTCAAGGAACATTTTTCTATCCATATTATATGAGGAACTAGATAGAATTCCATTAGAATTACAAAGAAACAGTAATCCATTCCATAGTAGTTCCATTAGAAACAGCCTAAAGCGCATAATATTTTAAAAATATAATAATGCTCAATGTTTGTAAATGTTTTTAAATGAGAGATTATTGATAAAAATGATGATTATTTTTGTTGCAATAACATCAGCATATAGCAAGTAATCCTACTCATATTGTTGTCGTCTCAATAGAATATCTCGAATATTTTTGGAATTTGTTTACTTGTCGAGATTACAATTCGCAGGGAAGGGACAAGTTAAGCTGATCTGATGTAGTTTTGAAATTTGTAAAAATTGGCTCCTGGATCTTGGTCGTTATTCTAGGCACTACAAATCAAAATTGGATTGAATACAATTTGTAGCTTTGAGTTCAAGTGGCTAAGGCTCTATCTTTATTTGACATTCTCACTATTTTTCCTGCATCCGTAAACCAAGTTTTCATTATTTTCTGTATAAAACTTTTGAGACACGAGGAAAGCTAACTGTTATGTAACCAAATAAAAAGAAACAGTAAAAATAAAATTTTATATTCCATCCATCTCAACGGAAATATGCTACTGAATCGCTTCTCAAAAAATGCACTCGAGCATCTTTTCGCTCAGATTTTCTGATTCAAAATAAAAATCTTTTCGGAGCATTTGAGTGCTCTTGATAGATTTACGAAAAAAAAAGATCGAATGCTGCTTGAGAATCTGTAAATGTACATAAAGAAGCAAAATATGCTTGCAATGAATTTTTTGTGATAATTCCGGTTGCATCTTTTTACATCCTACGTACAATGAACATGCATGTAACGAATTTTTGTAAACATCATTGATTTGTTATGGAAGGTTGAAGGATGGATAGATAAAGGATTGGAAAGTTTCAAACATAATAAATGCGAAAAAAAAGAATTCCATCTTCGATTACTGTTTTTATGTTCTGTTAAACCGGAACTAGAGTTTTTTTATTGGTTGAACATTGAACAAAGCTTTGTAAACAAACAAAAGAGATTTAATGTAATATTCTAGAAGAAAGAAATTGCGGAAGTAAACAGAAATTAACTTAATTGAATTTTTAATAAGCAACTTACTCTAATTTTTGTATATAAAATCCATCAAAAAATTCAAACTTGGAAAATCCTTCAAAAGATTCAAACTTGGAAAATACCCTAAAAGTTGAATTTTAAAGCTAGATATTTCTCAACAAATATCCAGTCACAACTGCTCTATTATCATGTTACACAATTCAATTGAATCTATGATGGACATGTGCTTCATGTTTTGTATTACAATTGTCAATTTTGCCATTGTCATTAAAATGGCTACAATTTCCTTACAATGTCATTTATAATGTCTATTACAAAATTTTATCATGCATAAATCTGTTGTTCAGTTTCTAGTTCTTTTGCTCACAAACATTTTTGTGTATATCCCTAAATTGTATCATCAGCAACAGCAGATTGTTAATTTCCTTCATTTTGAAAATTTGAAACGGAATTCTAATTTAAAGCTTTGATTTAATGGCTGAATTTGAACAATTGCATGAAGCATATGCGAAAAATTTTAGATATCGAGTAAGAGGATTCAAATGACTTAGTTGTTGACTTGTAAGTAGCGAGCAGTTGCTGTTGAGCTTTTGTCTGTAAAGGATAGATTGCAAATTGCTTGTAAGTCAACGACTTACTTGACAGTCAGAAATGTTTGTAACTTAAGATGACCCAGATATCCAGGATGAGATACATAACAGCAAAAAAGAAACTTTAAAATCAAATCATGCGCTCAGTTTCTTCAAATAAAAGTTTCAATCCGCGAAAAACAAGCAAAAAAAAAGTTTTCAATTAAGTTTGAATGTGAAAGCACAACAATAACAGAACAAGCATGTTTGTATAGAACTTTTGACAAGATAAAAAAAATGGAAAGATTGAGCTTAATAATGTGTTTTTCACACACATCCATACACAGACTCACAACAAAAAAGAAAAATTTATTCAACAAGAAATGTTTTGCTTATTCGAGCAGTATTTTATCCTCATTTCAAAATAATTGAAGCTGAACATAAGGTAGAAAAGGTTTTTTTGAAGCCTCTTAAAAGCTTTTCATATTAAAATTTCTCTTATTCCATCTCTTTTGTGCTTTTGAACTTGAGAGGCACAAAAAAAATATTATTTTATGTGCCAGATTTATGAAAATGTATTTCGAGTCGACATGAAAGGTGTCAGCAGCAATTAAATTTTTTATTATTTGTGCTGGCAAAAATCAATTGTTTTGGTGGGTTTCAGTAATGAAATAGTATCAAGGCAGACCCGTAATATCAAAATTAATATCTCGCATAACGATATCAATAAATTGTAAAAAATTGCAATACATTATAAATTAATGAGCTTACTGAAGTGTTCCTTCTCATAACATTAAAAATTATTGTTATGCATAAAAATAAGAAAAATGAACATAAATAATTTTTTATACAAAAGAGAAGCTTTGGCAATTTATCATCATGCTACACCTCTCAAAAGAAATTATACACATTTGATTCTGTGCTTGTTCTTGTGCTTAAAATAGAAATAAATGAATTTATTAATATATCATGAATTTTATTGAGCTAGATTTTAATGAATATTTAACAATTCTTCCTGGAACTTTTCCTTTGAGAATTAAATATGCTTTACAATCAGGCTATGCTTTATTATACTAGATCTGATGCTCGTAATGAATGGATGAGATGAAAGAATTTTTGAAATCTTTTACTTTTGCTGAGCTTGAATATATTAAAATTCAAGTTTCGGATACAATTAGGTTGTTGTAGGCATACATATTGTAGATAGGGCTCACTGTGAAACTGGTTGTATGATTATGACGAATAGCAGAAGTGATATAAATACCTTTGTAGCCAAGTGGCAGGGATCTCTGATCGAGAGGTATGAGATCGCCTCTTTTAAGGTCGTAGGTTCGATTCCCATCGAATCCGACTTCTTTTACATGCGACTTGTTGTATATGGAGATATATAGGGAGATCTACAATAACTACAGACTTTCAATAAGTGCTCTCCAATGTGAGACTCGAAAACACATCCAAGCATGAAGAACCTCTGATTTCTGGTTGGTAACCTATTTTATAATCAAAATCACCCAAAAGAATCAGCTCTGCTACTAAAATTCTCTTCTGTATCTCCATCCACAGTAAAAGTTCAAACAAAGCACCACTAATTATATTATCTTCCTCCTACAGTCCGTAGCACAGTAAAAAAAATCTTCATCTCCTCAAAGAAAAGTCATAAATATGCAATAATATGAAATAATTGGTGTGGAAGTTTTACTCATCAAGTTCATAATGATGTAATCAACTTTTCTTACCTTTACGACTATTTAATAAGCATCTTTCATTTCCCATTATGTCCTCTTGCATTAAATGCTTCGAATTTATTTTTGGATGATGACATCAAACAACACAGCAAGAATAATCCTTAACGTCCGTTTAATTATATCGATGAAATGGCATTAACCACGCAATCTATAAATTGCAAATATTTTTTTTACTGTGAGATGCGAACTATCGTCAACTAGTGCACGCATTAATTTTTCTCTCATTCTGTCTGAGACTCTTGTAGACACATGTGATAGTCAGGGTTAAATACTTTTATGTATAAATTCTTTGTGACTAGTTTCAAGCAAAGAAAGCAGCCAAAAATTATTAATTTTTGCTAGGAATGGTTTGCAAATGTTGTCTAGGATTGAGGTTCCTTGCAATCTGAGACAGAATCTTTCTCCCAAAATGGAGATGACGAGTTTTAGAAAATTCATATTTTAATGTCCACAATTCATGTTGATTTATTGTGGATTTTAAATTATCATTCAACTCGTGATTGAAAATTTTAATGCTTTTAAAAAAATTTGTTCTCAAAATTAAAATCAAATTCTTTCAAATGTTAAAACATTTCAAAAACTCTTCAAAAGAATTCTATAAATAATTAAATATTTTCTTCCATTAAGAGCTTCAAGCGTTGCTGAAACATTTTGTTCAATTTATTCATGACTAGATTCTCAGAAATTCGTCAATTTTGATAGCTGAAAATTTAATTTTCATTAAGTTTGAAAAAGTTTTGTTGACTTTCAGTCAATAATAGTTCTGTGATCTAACTCTAATATTTATTTTACACATGCTACGGACATTTCAGTGTCGAATATTTTCGACATGTTTGAATTTAGTCGACCTAGTGTTTGAATATTTTAAAACCGTTAAAAGTTTGTCAATTTTAAGATTTTGAGCATTAATATTTAATTTCTAGTATTTTTCTTGGATGATTTTAGCTAAACTTAGCTAAACATGAAGCTAAGAATAAGAATCGTTTGCTCAAGCCTTGGTTTTGCCAGTGTTTGCAAGAAATATTCATGGAAATTAAACGGTTTTTTGAAATTCAAAGCAAAAAATAAACGATTTTTCGACGTGTCCGTAGCATGATTTTACATTTGAGCAATTTCTCATAAATGAAAAGTCACTCAACTGTGCAAATTCGGAAACTATTCAGCGGAATTATTGTGTCATCCAATGTAGACTGACTGAACAAGCTGCAAAAAACAGCTTTTATCCAAAAATGCAATGAAAATAATTTTGAAATGAATTAAGCTCTTGGAATAGATATTTTTGATAAATCCATGGCTATTTGTTTTGGTCGATGCTATTTTCGCTATAAATATTTGATAATATCGTATCAGACTCCCTTGACTACGGCTTAAAGACT